GGGGGTATGTGTAAAAAAGTTTAAACTGTCGCGTAGTGGTTGGAAGTCGCAACATTCGCACATTCGCAAAATGGGACCGCAGCGAAAACAGTGCAACCTGTCGATGTCGCAAAGCGCCCAGTGTTAAGTGGCGAATGGAGGATTTTTTGCTTACTTTTGCCTTCGATAAGGTTGTCGCTTGGAAGCCATAAGTTTACGATCGCGGGTATGCCTTACGGGTTCTTTATTTGCAGGCATGGGCGTTATATATGACCGCCATAAATTCCCGCGCTGTACTTGTGAAGATATCGTGCGGCGCCGAATAGTCGCGGCGTATTCACAATCAGCCGCATGGTACAATATTTTGCGGAACCTTGTGGGAGTAAGTTCACCTCATATAGGACTCGGCCCGATAAGCACGTGCTTCGAGTATGTTCGTCCACTTTATGCACGTACCGAGGACTTTGTGCGCCACGTAAGCACTATTCGATGTACCTTAATAATGGGTATGAATGCATGTGAACGAGGGTACATCCGTCGGTGCCTCCCCCCCTCCCCCACTTCGCTCTCACTGCTCGTCTTGCTATCGAAAGCGTACGCTGATAAGACGTACACCTTGAAGACACTTCTGCTTAGCTTGCGCAAGGCCAGCAATATATTTGTATAGTTCAGCTCGACCAATGCGCCAAAGCCTGTTACAGTCAAGTGTCCAGCTAATGCTTTCTCCTGAACTGTGTTGGCGCGACGTTTTGCGAAGCCTATATACATCTCCTATACGTTTATTGAGAAGTTTCTCTCAAGCTGCACGTGGTCTCCTACCTTGCAGCTGCTATGGCTGCCACATGCGGCCCGCACTTGCGTGCTGCTAGGAGCCAAATATTTGCTTACAGCGTGCGCATGAGCCAGCCGCGCTTGCCAAACTCCAGATCCACGGTGGTGAGATAACACAGGTGTACCAGCGAAAATTTTCTTTTATTGCCTGCTCTGAAGGTTCGTCGGTTCAGGTTCGACGATGTGTGTAACAAAACTTACACGTCAGACAACGTATTAGCTAACATTGGTTTCCGAAGTACACAGCGTGGACAAGCGTTAAAATGCATAAACGTTGCATTGTCTGTGACTGAAACGGTGTAGTAACAACATCCAAGGCACTTCAGCAACGTACCAAGGAGATATTCATGTTTGTTTTACTTCATGCAGCGTCTTTTCGCATTTTTTTGCCCATTTGAAAACGTCCCACGTTGTACGACCACCTCGCAGTCAAAATGGCGTCTTCGTCTTTAGGTGCGCGCTCGTCGCCCTTCGCCCATTTAGACGACTCGCAGGAGGAGCTTGGCCCGAAATATCGCTCGCAAATGGCTGTCTATAAGCAGACGCAGCAAATTGTGCGCAGCCTTTAGTATTCGAACACTGCTGTTATTCGAAACGTGAGCCGTACCGGACTACTTCGCGGAGGAGTACGTGCGCAGTAGCTCCGCCCTGCAGCTTTTCTTTCATTGCTAAAAAAATATGTCCATGACTACCAGTGGGGGTACTGCGGTACTAAACATTGCGACTATACTTGGGGACAACTTTCTGTGGCAATGAAAGGAAAGCCACGGGGGTGGAGCTACAGCACGTGTGCTCTTCCGCCAAGTAGTCCGGCTCGACTCGCTTTTCGGATGCTGACCGTGTTCGAATAATACAACTGAATAGAAGTGGCTACGTCTGTTTACAAAGCCGTTCGTGAGTGAAATTCAAAACAAGCTTCTTCGGCGAGTCGTCGGAAGAGCTGGAGGGTGACGAGCACTCACCTGAACATGGTAATGCCATATTGAATGTGACGGGCACCTAAAATATGCGACGCTTTCAGACGTGCAAAAACGTGAAATGACACTTCATGTAGTAAAACAAATATGAATATTTCCTTGGTTTGTTCAGTGTCTCTTTATTACCAGCATCTCGTAGGAAATGAAGTAATGTTGATCTTTATTAGCTTCACGTAGAAAACACGGACGTACTTGTGGGACTATATTCTTCAGTGGAGGCACACGCCCTCTTTGGTTCCGTAGCCTTCCCTTTATTGCCACAGTCCCCGAGTATAGTATATCAGGGTGTCGCTGACGACGCTGATCGCGCGCTTGCGCGCGTGTGCACAGCTCTCGAACGCCGCCTCATCGAGTCAACTGGACTGTGCGTATTTTTCCGCCGGAGGAGATCGGCTTGCTCCCGTCCGTCGATTGCCGACATGCGATGCCTTCTTTGTCGGACATTCCTCGGGTACCGCTCTCATTTTCCCATCCGTTGCGGCGGAGATAAAAAAGAACTAAACGAAAGTGACCGCGTGCGTCTGGGAGTCTCAGTATCCGGCTTATGCGAACAATGGCCCATTGTTACTTTTCCCGTCATGTGGCACGTCTACCGCTCGACAACGACCTTGAGGACGCTCTTAATCTGTCATTGCCGCTCTAATTTCTTTTGTTTGTCCCCGTCTGAAAGATAACCCGATTAAGTGCGTACTCCATGGGATGTGTGATCATTGTTTAAGTGAACTGCAGATCGTAGTTTTTTTTTTTTCGCAACGATCATAATTTTTCTTGTTGGGTCAGCTCTCTCCCGTTATTTGTCGGCCAAGCGCCTAATCTCATTCCGCCGTTCTACTATCTGCGGTCCTCGACTGTTAAGTCTAACCGACCACGGTGGCTGTCGGGGTTGGTTGTCTATATAGCGGTGACTTCGCCGTCCGTTCAGTCAAGTGTGACATTTTGTGAATCCACTCTTACAGCTCAAGCGAGAAAGCTGCAGCTCGATGCAGTTTTTAGGAGCTTGCTCCTTTTGCTGCGGGGTTGTCTCTCGTCATTGCGCCGGTGTGTAAGCTAGTGCTCATTGCTTCCGCTAGAGACGCAGCTGTGCTCTTCAAGAGCGCTCACTTGATGGCGCGCCGCCGCTCAGGCGACGCTTGCTCCACTCTCGGCGCGTGCTCTAGTTTGGTAGGAGACCGCTAGGTGGTCGCCCCTATATATAGCGCTCGCTCTCGGCGCGCGCCCTTTCCCTTTCGGCGGACGTCACTCAATGCGCATTGATACCACTACCCACTATGAACACCACAGAAGCCAAGGTGGCAGCGTGGAGGACTCGCAATGCGGCTGCAGCCCGGGCTCGCCGTCAAGACCCTTCTAGAACTTTCCACTACATACTATGGATGCTTTCCTGCAGCGGCGAACGAGTGCAGCCCTGTTTGAACACGAGATTTAATGGCCTTGTTCTTTCCATCTTCACCGATGGCCGGTCGATCTGCCCCCGCCGCTACCAAGTTGGAAGGCCAGCAAAGCGGGCATAGCGCTTACTTTGTTGCGGTGGTGTCATGTAGTTTTCTTTAGCAAAAGTAGCTGTGGGAAACGGTCTATAATTCAAAATCCTCTGACTTTGCTCTTTACTGATCACAAAGCCATCATACTAATAGGAAAATGTTCCACCGAGCTTACGTGATCCGCAAATAACCTCTTGAACAAAATGTAAATACTGTATCAGTATGTAAATATCTGTATATAGTACATTGAAATGTATATAACGTATATATACAATCACACCACAACTCCTCTCGTGTCACGTCTTTATATGATGATGATTGAGCATATGTACTTAGAAGATTCACGGTTTACTGGATAGAGCCCCTGAAGCAAGCTCCTTCATCATCATTCAGTTTGGTGATATGCGGGAATTTTTCCCCTTTCCACGCCATATTTAACCGCATCTGTCAAATTTTTAGTGGTGCAAGCTTCGTTCAAGTAGAAACAAATTGTGAGGTGCCCCCATCTACACACGTCATGCCAACGAGCGACTGGCATCGACAGTCTTGTGTTGTCCTTTTGTTTGGAATAGCTCTCTTCTGCTTGTCGCGGTACGGATTCATTTGAAGTGGCAAAAATGAATGGAGGAAGTTGGCTGCGGCGCGTAGGAATGTAAATGGTAACCACAAAGGTTTGTCAGGGTCATAAAAATGACGATCCGTAGATGATGGTGGTCTCTCATGTAGTAGAAAGCCAGGTATGCCTGAGACTTACAGCTCCGATTATTCAGCGTTAAGAAGCATCGCCTAACGCGAGGATGACGTTCGCTATGTCCAAACTTGGAGTACGCCCGCAATAAACTAGAAGTGAACACCGATCGGTAGGCTTTAAAACTAACACAAAAAAGCTTTGTTAATCAAGGCTGGTGCCCGTAATTCACCCGACTTACTGCTCCACATATAATCGCTTGCTTTAGATAATGGGCAGACTGCTTCCTGAGGCCACAGCTTGTCCGTCCATGTATGCGGTGTCCGTCACGGGGAGGTGTGTGTATGTGCGACACACACAAAAAAAATGTTTAACCATACACTACTATCAATCGTAATTGCAGCGGAAACATTCAGAACACCTAGTGGCACTAAGTCTTCATACTAGCCAGTGACTTCAACAAGCACATTATGGACCTTAAGCCCTACCTTTGTCGTCGACTCTCGCTGTCCGCTGTCATAGTATCTACCAAAGCGATGATGCTGTGGAAACGTGTGCGTCTACGTGAATAAAAGAAGTTTACAATAGACGGACAACATTGATCATAGTGACGGAGCACTGTAAAACGCCCACAACCACAAACACTTTATACTAATCGACGACTTCAACGTAGACATTATGGATCTTAGGGCCTGGATTTGGCGTCAACTCTTCATGGCACTCTGTCACTCAATTTACATTATACGCGACAACGCTCGGGCAATGTATCGCTGCTCGCTCATTCGATATTTATAGCTTCGTCCACTCGTCTTTCACTTCGTGGTGTGTGGATTTTTTAAATGTGGATCTTGTTGTTTTTTTTTTTTTTCAAATTTTAGCTTTAACCCTTATTCGAGTACGTCTGCATTCCCGTGGGGTGCAATGGCTGGCTTAATAAGCGTTACTTTGCACTTGGAAAAAAAGAAAAGCTTAACCACGTGTACGTTACGGTATAATGTCTAATCCAAACCCCACATTTTCCCGCTTTTTTTAATACCTACGCAGTCCAAGGTGACGCTGGAGGATGGCAAGCTTGTTCAGAAGCAGTCCGGTGACAAGGAGGTGACCATTGTCCGAGAGGTCAAGGACAATGCACTGCACGTGGTAAGGCTCCTTTTGAGAGTACCACTAGAGCTATAGTGTTTCTATATTTCTGCTACAGCAAAGCAGCCGCTTTTACTGCGTTTAGATACCTGGTAATCCTAAAAAAGCCACGAAACCTAAAAACGACTTGTGGCGACCATGCAGTTAAGCTGTCCCTTGAGTTGTTGGTCACGTCGTGAACCTTAGAGCTACAGGCGTCTGTATTTGAATTGTCCTTTTTGTGATTTGAAGGGTATGCACCATCGAACCATGACACCTTTTTTTTCTTGTTTTGCCAGGGTGGCTGGAATAAATAAGAAGAGTGGAGTTAATGCAGTCACAATACTGTAGAGGCGTTTCAGCAAAAAAATGAAGGGGAATTGGTGTATTTTTTTTTCAAAGATGAAAGGCTGAAGCTGTGCAGATTAGAACAAAGTGCGTATTGTCACACACAAGTGCACAGTGATTAATCATAGTTACAGCAGCTTTCTTCGTTGACTGCGTTCCGTGTCGCTAAATATGCATTCGCGAATTGGAATGAAACAGTTTTGTCCGCTTCGTCCTCCCATTGCGCGCAGGTCTGCTCCATTGATGACGTCGTCTCCACGCGCAAGTACCTGAAGGAGTGAGCTCGTATCTCCTCTGAAACTTAACGCCGCCGGCTCACGCCACCCCGGGTTCGAGGCTGTGAACGAGGAGGTTTCTTGGGCCGACACTGTTCGTAGAGTGGCTGACCTGACTCGTCACTGGCCCCGTCCCGGCTGGGCGCGTGGTCTGTCGCGGCGTCAAGCTTCCACAGGAGACGACGGAGGTTCCAGCTGGGGCCCACCCAACAACGAAGTCTTGTCTGTCTTCGAGATTTGGTGAACTCCGCGGGGCTGTGCCACCAGTTCCACGTTTTTTTGTTTGTTCTGCCCAAAGACAATCTGCGTCAACCCACCTTGATTATTGCATTCTTATCGTCTTCTGTTTTTCTCTTCTTAATGTAAAATCAGTTACAATTTGTGTGTTTTTTGCAATAATACATTCGCGTGTGGAAGGCCAAAATAATTTTAAAAGGTGAACTGTTCATCTTCATTCGATAAATTTGCTTTGCCGTATTTTTTCGTCACTCGCGCCGATCCACTTAGTGGATTCGCGTTTCTGTTCATTCCTTTGACTCTCTATGTACCCGAAGAGATTTTCCTGTGTCGTGTATTTTTTTGAATATGTCAAATAAATTGATTTTTTGATACTCTGTATTGGTCAATTCGTAGGACTAGTGCGTTCCAGTTTCACCTCCGTTGAACGCTGCATACGTGTGACATGAAAGTATTCTTTGCAAGTGAGTCGGCATGCGCCGGTTGATTAAGGCTATCTGTTATGCGTTAATCTTACGGCACCTTCACACGAAGAGCTAAATTACACGATGGAATGCTCGTTGCAGCGCGTCTTAACTTCAATTGAGCCACTGACGTGAATCCGCTTTTTTTAGTGTGCACGATAAACCATCGGCCCAAAATAAAGCCAACTGTGCGCATATTTCTAGGTCGATATTTGTCGATTTAAGCGAACTTTGCATGGTAACAGCACAGTTCACTAACGCTATATGAGAACGCTATTCTTGATGCATGTCTGCGTAGAGTTTTTAAATCCAGTGGTCTAACCTTAAAGCATTGAAACGTCCCTCTATTCACCAATATTTCTCTTTTAGATCTCTTCTTCACTGCTCAGTATAGCGTAAGCCGTAGTGGTGTAGCTGTTACGGCACTCGGTCGCTGACCCGAAGGCCGCGTTTTCGATCCCGGACGCTGCGATTGCATCTCGGTGAAGGCGTCTACTGCGCGATGGAAATTGAAAAGTCGAAACTTCCGGAAGCCCTCCACTATGGTGCCCCTCACGTCGCCTCATGTATTCTGGTGTTGGCACGTTAAACGCCAGTTACTATTGTTCGGCTTTGGTCGCCCTGTCCGGTTTTTTTTTTCTTACCAGACGTAAATGCAGGATCAAGTTAGCTGTGCAGTAGTTAGAAATCGTTGCACAAGGAGTGCGGCCTGGCGCCAACGTTCCGCCACAAGGACTTGTCTTTGCTTGGGCAGCCATGCTTTTTTTCGTGGCAGCTATGGCGTAGTGCTTAGAACATCAGCCTCGCATGAAAGAGGTCCGTGGCTCAAATTCCGGTGCCGCGCAGTTCCTAACCGGATAAAAAAAAAGTCCGCGCGGTGATGGAACTGCATTAAGAGACCTCACCGGTGACCACCGCCGGTAACGCACTCCCTCACAAGAGAAGGATTGGCCACCCTGGTGCAGTATCTGGCCACTACCTCCCACATGCTTACGTCAAATAACTCACGGCCCTCAGTCCCCAGCAGCTGCAAAGCAACTGACCACGGCGGTGGTCAGATCTGCAACGCAGCAGAGGGTGCTAAGAATCTCTGGATCCGGACAGGCCGCCATTGGAACCTGAACTTGGCAACGTTTAACACTAGAACCTTATCTAGTGAGGGAAGTCTATATGTACTATTCGAGGAGCTAGAGAGTGTTAAATGGGATATAATAGGGCTCGGTGAGGTTAGGAGGACAGATGAGGCCTATACGGTGCTACAGAATGGGCACGTCCTTTGCTACAGGGGCTTGGCAGACAGAAGAGAACTGGGAGTGGGGTTCCTAATTCACAGAAACATAGCTGGCAACATAGAGGAATACTATAGCATTAATGAAAGGGTGGTAGGTATCGCAATTAAACTGAATAAAAGATACAAGATGAAGGTAGTACAGGCTTACGCGCCTACATCCAGCCATGATGACGCTTCAGTTGAAAGCTTCTATGAAGACGTGGAATCGGCAATGAGTAAGGTAAAAACACAGTATACTATAGTGATGGGCGACTTTAATGCAAAAGTAGGGAAGAAGCAGGCTGGAGACCAGGCAGTAGGAGAATATGGCATCGGTACTAGAAACGCCAGTGGAGAGCTACTAGTAGAATTCGCAGAACGCAATAATTTACAGATTTTGAATACCTTCTACCGAAAACAAGAAAACCGCAAGTGGACATGGAGGAGCACTAATGGCGAAAATAAGAACGAAATAAACTTTATATTGAGTGCACACCCTGGAATCGTGCAGGATGTGGAAGTGATTGGCAAGGTACGATGCAGTGACCATAGAAAGGTACGGTCTCGAATTAGCCTAGACTCGAAGAAGGAACGACAGAAACTGACACGCAAGAAGACAATAAATGAGATAGCACTAAGAGGGAAAGTACAGGAATTCAGAGACTCGCTTCAAACGGGTACTCGGCTCTTATCGAGGAAAACAACCTCAGCGTTGACGCAATGAATGATAATCTGACAAGTATCATTACGGAGTGTGCAGTGGAAGTTGGAAGTACTGTACTTAGACAGGACACTGGCAAGCTGTCCCAGGAAACGAAGAATCTCATTAAGAAGCGTCAGCGCATGAAAGCCTCAAGTACAACAGACAAAATAGAGTTGGTAAAGCTTTCGAAGTTGATTAATAAGCGTAAAGTATGCGATGTAAGAAGGTATAACATGGAGAGAATTGAACACGCTCTGAAGAACGGAGGAAGCGTCAAAGCAGTGAAGAGAAAACTGGGGTAGACAAAAAACAGATGTATGCACTGAAAAACAAGGAAGGCGAAGTAACTATCAATATGGATAGGATAGTAAAATTAGCGCAGGAGTTTTACTGAGATCTGTACAGTAGCCAGCACGACCACGGCCTTAATATATGAACTAGTAGTAACCCAGATGATACCCCACCAGTGATGATAGAAGTCAGAAAAGCCTTGGATAGCATGCAAAAAAAGCAAAGCTGCTGGAGAGGATCAGGTAACACCAGATCTGCTAAAAGATTGAAGAGAGATTGTGTTAGAAAAACTAGCGATCCTGTTTACGAGGTGTCTCCTGACGGGAAGAGTACTTGGAAGAATGCTAACCATCCTAATACTTAAAAAAGGAGATGACAAGGACTTGAAGAATTACAGGCCGATCAGTTTGCTCTCCGTAGTATACAAGCTAACAGAACTAAGACATTAGAATTCAATCAACCAAAGGAACAAGCAGGATTTTGAACAGGCTACTTACAATCTTATCTTCAAATATCTTATATATCTTATAAATATCTTATAAATATTATCAAATATCTTATAAATATTATCTAACAATCTTACCTTCAAACCGTCCCTGCGTTTCATGGTAAGAGAGGTGAGCTTTGGTAGAAAGCTCTGTGGCAATTCCTGCTTGGACGATGAGTCAAGGCTGGCCGCGAGGGTGTAGGACGCTGCGCGATCCCACGGCAACCTTAGTCTAAGTGCGTCTTTGATTAGCTATATTGTAATTGTTCATTCTCTATGTCCCTTTCTCTTTGGCTAGCAATGTCCAGTGCTTCTTTTTCATGCTGCATTGAAGATGTCAGCACATTGATGATGTTCACGTTATTCGGCAAGGTTATGACCGGTAAATGGTCAGTCATTAATCGTAGTACCTCTCGTATATTTCACGCATAGTTTCTTAATTTAGCGCGCATATAGGTGAGCCTGCGCACTGCTGTAACCAGTAACGTTACCCGGAAACACAACCACTCTTGCACACTACGTTCGGTCTGTCTCCAAAAGCCTGGACACAGTCCGCTACCGTGGTGGAGCAGTGGTTATGGTGCTCGACTACTGACGTGCAAGGTTGCGGGCTCGACCCCTGCCGTCGCGGTCGCATTGCGATGGAGGCGAATTGGCAGGTTTATACTGTGTGATGTCAGTGTGCGTTGAAGGATCGGTATAGAGAAAAAAAAATCGCACAATATCCACGGAATAAAGGATGATGAGTGGACGAAGCGTCCGTCCGTTCATCCATCCATGCGTCCGTCCGTGAGTCTGTTCGTGCGTTAATTTGTCCGCGCGTCCATCCATCCGTCCGCCTGCTAGTCTGTCCGTCCGCGCGTACATATAGTGAACACTCATAAGTACCGTCATCTTGCATCCCCTGTGGCACATACCTGCTCCATAGCGGGTATGCGCCACCGGTGACTACATACTACAACATCGGAGGATGTACAGACCCAAGCCTTAAAGAGCTTCGCCTCTAAAAGATTTGTGTTTTTTATTAGTGAATTGATCTTCAATTCCTAAATCTACCATTCGATTGTTTATGGCATAATCGAATTACAGATCATCAAATATAAAATCTCAAGATACAAGACTACAAAGGGACCATCGGTTAATATTACCAATAAATCAAACAGGAATTTGCAACTGTAAACCGCAAAAAGAAAAGCCGTTCACGCAGCAGAATGAAAAAAAAAACATGTAACCGAAAAACAATTGATAAATGCAGTATGAAGAAACACAGATCTAGGACAAAAAAGGCAGATACAAAACTTAAGTACTCTTCTAGTGAATTTTTGAAGATAATTAAAACCCTTTACATTTAGCTCTACTGTCGCTGCGAGAAGACTGTTCGTAAGCGAAAAAAAAAAACAAGCAAATCAAACTTGGGTGGTGGCGTCACATTGGAATTACATTATCAAACGCCATGACGCCACGGATTTTGACGCCTTATGGGGGGTCCTACTTTGTTATTAACCAGTAAAGATGAAGTACAATTTGCTTTCAGAAATAGAGTACCACACTACCTAATGACGCCAAAATACGTGTAATATTTGTTTTTTTATTGACAATGTCGGCACGAATGAACGCAGAAACCAGATAAAAATGGCTGGTTGCTTCAAAATGGGTAAACGTTCGCCATTTGCTCAATCGGTTGACAGAGCAGAACAAACGCACAGATAGGCAGACAGACCAAAATTTCTTCGTTGAAGTATCCGAAGAAAGACTATCTCTTTTAAAATTTAAGTTACTAGCTGTAATTATGTAGTAAGAATAAACGCTTAGCCACGTGTGTGTCTGTCTGACGTGACCATTAGACTGGTTAGCGTGAGTATAAAATGAGTACAAAATCAGCAGCTCGAGTACACCGCAGGTGTTTGCAGCGCACGTAGTATGCAGTGAACCGGCTGAACGTGCGTTTTCGCGAATATTTGCGTGATCGATCAATTGATTGATTGATTGATTGATTGATAGTGGGGTTAAACGTCCCAAAAGTACCATATGATTGAGAGACGTCGTTGTAGAGGGCTCCAAAAATTTCGACCACATCAGGTTCTTTCACGTGCATCCAAATCTGAGCACACGGGCATATACAGGAATTACGCCCCCATCGAAAATGCAGCCGCCGCAGC